AATATGTGTATAGAGAAGGTTTATATGTAGATATATATATATATGTATACTATGAATACAAAATTTATATTCTAGAATGAACTGTATACGCAGCAGCTGTGTTGAGGAATGGTCTTCTTCCAGCTGCCTGAGGACTTTTTAGCTCGGAGATACTGGGTATGGTGTTTCAAACTTGAGATTTTCTCAGCGTTATTGTTCTGAAGAAAGATTTTGTGCAGCTCTTCCTCGAAACGAGGATTTTTCCCTCAATCCAGTGTGTAAACCTGCGCCATTGCTCTACCTCCGACACCTGCAAACCTTTTGCCGATGTCAGCTCGACGCAGCACCCGGGGTCTAGGCTGGTGCCCCGAGTGGATAAGGTGCTGAGGAGATAAGCAGAGGCACCCCCCAGAACAAGGAGTAGAAGAGGAGTACGGAGCTAAAGGCACAATTGCTCCTTGCGGATGTCTGTGTCATCACAAAACTCTTGAACTAATCCGTGAAGACTCCACTGCCACCCAGCACTGGTCCAATCAACTTTAGACAGTGCAGAATCTGAGAAGTGCCCTGTCTCCTGGACGGAGCAATACATGGGAGAAGCTAGATTTTATAATATATTTTTTTTCCTCTTGAGTAATTTAAAGCTTGAAAAATGTAGGGATTTCTTTGTCTTTATGTAATTCCTTGTTTGGGTTACAGTGCTCTGTCTGCAGCTCGACTCTGGGTAGTGGCTGAGGAACTTCACGCCATTGTTTGGTGACCACATCTACTAACTTATTGTCTGTTTTTGTTTTATCCTTGCCAAACTCAAGAGTTTAATTGGCGGAGGTCCTTACTAAATGCAGTGGGGGACATTTCTATTTCTGCAGAGTTATTGCACAACATTTCAGGCAGTCTTTGACTATCTCTTAACAGGGTGATTCACAAAAGGTCGGAGGGTTTGGAGAAGGCAGGAGAAGTGAACAATCTAGGCTAAAATAGCTGATTTGGAAAATGTCTCCAATTCAGCTCACTTTCCAGTTCAGCTATGTTGTCCTAGATGGTTCACTTCTCCTTCCTTCTCCAAACTCTTCACCCTTTTGTGAATACCCCTGTTAGAGAAACTTGAGGCTGCCCAGCAGGCAGTAAGGCACAGGATTTCCTTGTATATGTTACAAATAAGCCAAACATTGCTGTCCAGGATGGTGTCCTATGTCCCCCACTACATTTGGCCACCCCCAAGTTTATTTACAAGAGCTGCCGCAGCTGCTAACTATTGAATGACTGTCCAATCCTGAATGTGTCTGTTTTAGGTAAAGACAAATCTCTACGTATATATAAGGGAATGCTGCTAGATACTACAGAAATCTTTCGACTTTGTCATAGATACGCCAGCAGTGCAGGAGGGGAGGGCGCTATGCCTGCGGCACCTGTAGAAAGGGCTTTTTGTTGACCAGCAGGCCTCGGTTGACACTGCCATATATCTGCTTTGTGAAATTGAAGGTAGCTAGAAGAGTGGCTTTTGTTTGGTAGCTGGCTGCCGTATTGTATAACTGAAGCGCGGGATCAGGAATAGGAGCATAGGTAGGCTCTGCATTCCAACACTGGCATGGCCAGGTGTCCGCTTTATGATTTCAAGTCACCCATAACCAACCGGTGCAGTGTGTCATTGTGTCCTGAATGTTCTTCCGAGTGTAAAGAGCGATTCCAAAGATTGAGGGATGGGAATGGCACAGCACTTCTGCCGTTCCCATGCCTGTCCGGCTAGTCTTCACACGAAGGACGAATGTAGAGTGACTGCTTTAGGGGTCGGCTGATTTGATACCACAGGAATCAACATAGGCAGTTCAGGTATTTGGGAAAAATACTGTGCCTATATATGCAGCTACACTGGACTATTGTATTTATCGTTATTTATTTATTAACATATTTCTGGGTAAAAAATATCAACATCGATCCATTTCATGTACCCATCATATGAAGCCGACACTTCCACTTTTATTGCATACAAGTTCAGACTTTTATTTTAAAAAAAGGAAGTTCTGGGCATTTGTTTTTATACCTATAGAAAGTCTTAACTGGAAATGTTAGAGCTCTGATTTAGAGCTGTCACAAAGGCTGTGCAAAAATACCTGAACCTGTATCTTGCTTCTGTTTATTCCATTGGAAATAATTGATGGAACTGAACCTAGATATTTTCTTTGAGTATATGAAGTGTAGCCTTCTTATTACAAGTTCTGCTCCCTTTGCATGAAGATTGAGCAAGCACAAAACATCCTTTTTGGCCATTTATGGTATGCTAGTCTTGCTGAGGATCATGGGAATGATAGTTTAGAAGGTAGATTTAGAGCCACATAAGGTCTAGCATATTTTTTCTTACTTTTAAAGGCATCTGTTCTTTAATACTTTTGACTTTGCCTTTAAATATTTGATCACAGACAATAAGAGTGGATGCTGCCCTCACCTTTGTGACATTGACACAGTGGGGCTAAGTGACCGGTTATGTGACTAGCTTGAGTTTTGATCCTTTTACTAGTTAAATATGGCATTTCTGCCTTGCTTCAGCTCTTTATTGCTTGTATGTTATTCAGGATGTTATGCGGTCCTCGGGCCCAGGGGTGATGAATGTGATCCCATGTTTGTCTTTTGTTTATTATCTTGCTGCTATTTTTGATTTGCTATTGTGGTGACACAATCTCATTGCTTCCTGCCCTTGGCTGTGTACCCAGATTTTTCCACATGCTCAGTTTATTTGGGGTAAAGGGCATAGTGTTGGCACGTCTGGGTGAGAAGTCTGGTTCTAAATAGTTGATGCAACCTGACAACAGGCATAGTGGCCTGCCATAGGATGGGAGCTCCTGTTCCTGGCGGACTTGGTGCCTGGTTCGCAGAGGTTTCTCTGCTTGTTAGTATTAAGGCACTTATTGCATGTTGTGTATAAATGATTGAGCTCTTAAACATTTCTCATGTTCTTCTCTTGCTGGGCAGGACCCTGAAGAGGGAGGCCATTATCCACTGCATTTCACGTCCCCATTGATCTTTAACAGCTGCTGAAAGCTTTTTCTGCCCTGTGATGGAAACGGTGGTGGCGTTGATCGATGTACTGAATTCCGTGCATCTAATTCAAATAGGAAACACGCCACTTCAGGAAACTTTCAATTTCCAGATACATAAGCAAGTCCAGTAATGCCCATTGACAAAATAATATGTAGATTACACAGGAGTCCCCTTTGAAAGTGATTTCCACTTAAGTGAGCACCTGCCTTGAACTATTCAAGGTTCTCCATCGTTCATTGAGGGACACAGCACTGCATATCTATAACCTGTGGGTATATTGCTGCCTACAGGGCGAGTGCACCTTAAGTAAAATTAAAAGAGGCCATCTCTCTCTAGCAGCTCTACCTCTGGAACCCGCTGTACAGCTAAATTATTTCAAAGCAGAGGAAAAAAGAACAGAGAAATAAACATCTTTGTCTGAATGGGAAACTTTGTAATGTGTGGCTACAAGTGAACCCAAAAAAAAATGAGCACCTAACGAGGAGAAGCAGGCCAAGTCCCTCAATACACATTGGAGAAAAGGTTCTCTTGGGGAGTACAACAAATCCCATTTTCTCAATTGTTCATTGAGGGACCACAGTACTGTAGACCCATAATGTGTGGGTATACAGCCACCTGTAGGTTATGAATCCACAGAATACCAACAGCATTGTGTGTTTTATGATCTCTCCAAAAGTCTGTGTCTCATCCCCTGGATCTACAATTCTTTTTTTATTCTATATATCATGGAGAACACATTGGGCAAGCATAATACAAAGAACCCGTATAGATCATCAAGCAGTGGCCAGAAACTCAGACAAAGCTTGTAGTAGTCAGCATCCATAACCAATCGCGGTACCAAATTTCTACATGTTTGTTAGTGTAAATGTATACTTGTATATAGTGTTATAAATGATCCCAGACATAAGTGCCTAGATGTTCCCTTTTGTATAAAAGGTTAAAACAGGTTAACTATTACTTTTTATTCTATTTATTCATTTGCTAGAGCATGCCACTTGTTCCTAGTGGAATAGTTCTTCTTTCCTTCAGCAAACTGGCTGCTTCACATTGTCATGCTTTTCCATACCAATAGAGCGTAGTGTACAGCGATTGTTGGCAGGGATTATGTGCCTGCTAGGATACAGGTAAGTTAAGGCAGGATACAGCCAGGCTACATGTTGGGGGTTGTAGTCAGTCATCGGCTGGGCAATGCAGGTTATACAGTGCTAATGCCTATTGATGCAGTGTGCTGCAATAAAGGTTCATCACACACTCTTATCCCTCTACTTGTCCCTGTACTTCGTGCCATGAGCCTTGTGTTTTTAGCATGACCCCACAGAGAAGTATTAGGGGATTCTTTGACATTCTCCAAAAATCTGGTCTTGCAGGTGAAGTACAGTCCTGGACCGGCATAAATATCAAGTTAGACCAATGCTAAAAACCTCTGATCTAGCTCACCTACTTTTCCAGAATCACATTGAACAGACCTTAATGCTGACTGCACATCCAAATCTGGACCAGCTTCCAGAGTACACAGCCTCGTTTGGCGGGGTGTAACTATGTTTATTT